ATCATTCTCCGCAGTGTTCAGCTCCCAAGAACGGCGCCCCCGCGCGATTTAGGGTCGTCAGGACGCAACAGTAATTTTGATTCGCTTCGCCGAAGTCCCAGGACATGTGTTTTGGCACGGCTGAGGACTCTGAGACGGTTGCCGTCCAACGAAGCCGTTCCCACAGTGAACATATATCTTTGTAGGGACTTGCGAAGACGGAACTCGGAGGGGCGGTTTCTTGCACCATCGTTGGTGCGTCTTGGGTTTACACTGGTCCTCCTCTTCGTCGTCGTCGTCGTTGGGTGGGGTGTTTTCCATCAGCCACGCCTCGTCGTGAGCCTCTTGGGGAGCCCAAAGGTGTTCCGGACGGCCAAATGAAGCTTGAATCACGGCCCGAGGTCGGGGGCGGCAAAGGGGGGGTCATGACAAGGAGGGGATTGGGTATCATGACGGGGGCCATGACATTTCTACTGATGTCACGGTGCCTCTTCTCAATTTAATGCGTCCCCAGCCCCCCTCCTGGGCGGCGCACATGCCGCTGGCCATGATTTGCGCCCCCCCTCTTAGACGCCCCCGACGAGGCCCCAAAGGAAGGAGAACCATGCGCTCCAGGCCAGGAGGACTTCGGGACCGTCCAAAGCCTGGGGCCCAGGCGCCCGACGATGCGAGTGCTGCCTCAATCCAGGTCCCCGGAGGTCCAGACCCCTCTCCTGGGGGGCAGGTGGTCGCCCCGGATCCACGTCTGTGTCCTGAAGCCCGAAGACGGCACCCAGCGTCAGACATCAAGGGAAACCGCAGCGCCTGAAGACAGGTTGGCCAGCGCGGGCCCCCCACAGGAAGTCATTGCACCGTGCATGTGCAAGCTGTGTGATGCCGTCTACGTGGTTGCAAGCTATGTGGTGCAAGCTGTGTGGTGTAAGCTATGTGGTGCAGCCTCGACGGACACCCCAAGCGCGGTGGGCGGCAGCGAGGCGGCAACGGGCGGCGACGCAGCGGAATCTCGACGGATCTCCAAATCGGCGCCAACGAGGCGGCAACGGGCGGCGATGCGGCGAAACCTCGACGGGTCCCCGAAGCGGGCGGCAACGAGGCGGCAATGGGCGGCGATGCGGCGAAGCCTCGACGGACCCCCCGAGCGGGCCGCAGCGAGGCGGCAACGGGCGGCGACGCTGCGAAACCTCGACACACGGTTGGCAAGACAGGTAGGAGAATTGTCGGATGTCTTCGCCTGGGCCTGGGCTGGGTCACTGGTGGCATGCGCTTGCCGGCCTCCGATGAGCCAGCACCGTCCTCTACAATGTTGCCATCGCCGCCTGCGGGAGCGGCGGTCAGTGGCAGCGCGCTCTGCTCCTGCTCGACGAGCTGCGCGAGGCGGGGCTGGAGGCGAGCGTCGTCAGCTACTGCGCCGCGCTGAGCGCCTGCGGGAGAGACAGGTGCCTGCGGAGCGCACGAACCCTCCGTCTCGCCCCTCCTCCTCATCCACTTCCTCCTCGCCCTCTTCGCCCTCCTCCTTCTGGCCCTTCTCCTCCTTCCTCACCTTTCTCCTGCTCCTCTTTCTCCTCGCCCGCCGCCCTTCCCCTCCTCCTTGGTTCCTGTGCTGCCTGACTTTCACTATGCTCATCCTTTGCCTCCCTCCTGTTTCTCCTCTTCCCTCCTCCTCCTCCTCCTCCTCCTCCTCCTCCTCCTCCTCCTCCTCATCACCGCCCTCGCGTTCCTATTTTGTTGGCCTTTCTCCTCGTCCATCTCTCCTCCTCGAAGCTAAGTCCCTGTCGCACCACCAGGCTGTGCCGAAAAGGCGGTCTCGGCGTGTTGCCTGAGATGGACCATCGACTTGACACTTCCAACCGGCGCACAGATCGAGCGAGGGGGGGTTCAGCATGCGATGAATAAGCGCCGCGCACATGCGTCTTCAAAGCTTCCTAGATTTGGGCGATGGTCAAAGTCTGGCTCTCGCCTTCGCGCCACGCACATTGGTTCTACAAGTGTCCAATATCTGAATACAAGCATGGAGGCCTGCGTTGTTTCTTCTTTTATCTTTATGTTTTTTTTAAATGGGTTTCACCTTCCTGGCCGCGCGCGTGCGTTCGAACATCTTCCAACGGCGACAGGGTGGAGGGCGGGTGGTTTGCGAACTGCGGTTCTTGCCCTAGCGCCGCACACGATCATTCCTGAAGCGTTTAGGAGTTGTCGGGAGCTGCATGGAGCGGGTGGTGTTGGAATCGCAGCTCTTGTCTTTGCGGCGCGCGCATTCGTCTTCAGAGCCCCCAACAGTTGGAGGGCGGGTGGTTTTCAATGCGTGCCTCTCGCCTCAGCGCTTCGCACATTCGTTTCGCAAGTCTCCAGCGGCTACAAGAATGAAGGGCGTTTCCGTTTCACAAACGGACTCCCAGGATATTCCTTCTAGCATCAGCATACATGTATTGCCCACAGCTACAAAGATGGAGGATGTTTACTTGTCAAAACGGGGCAATCGCGTGAGACTTCTTGGACAAACCCAGGCCAGAAGTGCAAAGGTGCGCAACATTCTGGCACGCATGCAGGGCGGCGCCTTTTCAAACTGGGGCTTTCGATGGACAGTGCCGTGACCGTGTGTTGGCAATAGCTCTTCGTCTTCCTTATGGTTGGCAGGATTCAGGGCAGCTCCTCTTCAAGATGGAGTTCTCGTTTGAATGACAGGCTCATTGGGTGCTGGCCTTTTAAGGGGGGGCTTGTAGGGACCCATCAGGAGGGGACTTGGGACGCGTGGGTGTCGTGCGGCGTCGGTAACGCATGTGTTTGTTGTTACTGTAGCTGTCCTCCTGCACCCCCCCCGTCCCCCCTGCTCATGCTGTTCCTCCCCGTCCTCCCCATCACCCTCCTAAAACTCGTCTTCGTCCTCCTCATCCTCCTCCTCCCCTCCTCCTCGCCCTCCTCCACCTGCTCCTCTTTCCAATTCGTTTCCTTATGACTAATTCCTCACCGTCTGGCCATCAGACGTGTCGGTAGGGCGGGCCAGACGCTTCGCTTCATCCATATGTACTCCCCAAGTTCGTCCCCGATGCTTGAAAATTCAAACAGTTGAACGGATGGAGGGGGTGTTGTTCAACATGCGCTTCTCGTGTGCTGTGCCGCGCACTTTCGTTCTACACGTGTCTTACAGTTACACGGATGAAAGGTTTCGTTTCATCGCCGCGCACATTGGTCTTCGAAGTTCCCCACAGCTACATGGATAGATGGGGATCCGTTTCGGCAGCCCCTTCTCAAAAGCGGCAGCTCGCTTGAGTTGCAGGACCACGGGGCGGTCGTCGTCCTTGGGGGGGGACTTACCGCAGGGAAAAGGATTTCCCGCAGGTGCTTGCGGGCGGGCGCATCGCAGCATCGCTGATGCATCTTCGGTGTACTCTCCCCCCCCCCTCCTCCTCCTCCTCCCCCTCCTCCTCCTCCGCCTTCTCCTTCTCTTCCGCCTCCTCCTCCTCCTCCTCCTCCTCCTCCCTCCTCCTGCTCCTCCCTCCTCCTCCTCCTCCTCCTCCTCCTCCTCCTCATCATCATCATCATCATCATCATCATCATCATCATCCTCCTCCTGCTCTTCCTCCTCCTCCTTCTCCTCCTCCTCCTCCTCCTCCTCCTGCTCCTGCTCTGCCTCCTCCTCCTCGCGCCATCGTTTGCCGTGGCTCTTGGCCTGCCTGCTCCTTCTCTTCCTCATCTTCACTCTTGTCTTCGTTGCGTGTTGTTGCCTTCGGGCCTTCACGGCTGGACGCAGGTCGAAAAAATCAGCCAAGACGGACCGTGGTTTGGGGCGGGGCTTGGGGCGGGGGGCGCTGGCGGAGGAGGAGGAGGAGGAGGAGGAATGGAGGAAGAGGAGGAGGAGGAAGAGGCTGATGATGATGCCGCTGCAGATGATGATGGTGATGGTGACGATGACGATGACGATGACGATGATGATGATGATGATGCTGATGATGATGATGATGATGTTGCTGATGACGAGGATGATGATGATGTTGATGCTGCTGCTGCTGATGATGCTGCTGATGATGATGATGATGATGATGATGATGATGATGATGATGATGATGATGATGATGATGATGATGCTGATGATGATGATGATGCGGAGGAGGAGGAGGAGGAGGAGGAGGAGGAGGAGGAGGATGCGGAGAGATGAGGACGTCGGGAGGAGGAGGAGAAGGAAGAAGTTGAGGGGGAGGAGGAGAGGAGGGAGGTGGGCGGAGGAGGAGGAGGAGGAGGGACCAGTGTAAACCCAAGGCGCATCAATAATCTCTCACTAAACCCACCCTCCAAGGACCCTCTTCACAGGTTTCTAACATGTTTTGCGCTCATTGCGGGAAGTGGCTCCTTGTAAGACAACCGTCTATGAATCCTCAGTCGTGTCAGAACACCGTTCCAGTGACTTCAACGCTACGAATCAACATGACTGTTGCGTCCTGACAGTCCTGACTAAACTGCGCTAAATCGTGCCAGAGCACCATGCACTGGACATCATCCATACAGTTCCTTCAAAGCGCTACAAACTTAAGATGGATGTGCGCCGCACGAAGAAGATAAGCACATGTTGAAAAGGAGCCGCCCTCAATCGTTGAACCTGTTGCAAACGTTTAGAAGCGTGCGCCCGCAGCAGGCGCTGGCGGCCCGCGCTGCATCTGTTGGGCGAGCTGCGCGAGGCGGCGCTTGAGCTGGACGTCGTCGCCTGTAACGTGGGGATCAGCGCGTGCGAGGCGAGCGGGCGCTGGCAGCAGGCGCTGGCGCTGCTGAGCGAGCTCGTTGAGGGGGGGCTGGAGGCGAGCGTCGTCAGCTACAACGCCGCGATCAGCGCGTGCAGCAGCGGATTGCAGTGGCAGTTGGCGCTGGCGCTGCTGGACCAGCTGGCCGAGGCGGGGCTGGAGTCGGACACCATCAGCTACAACGCCGCGATCAGCTCGTGCGGCAGGGCCGGGGAGTGGCGCTGGGCGCTGTTTTTGCTGAGCGCGTTGCAGGAAGTGCAGCTGCAGCCGAACGTCGTCAGCTACAGCTCTGGAATGAGCGCGTGCGGCAAATGGGGGGGTCGGTGGCGGTGGCGACAAGCGCTGCAGCTGTTCACAGAACTGCGCGATTCGAAATTGGAGCCGACATTGATCAGCTACAGCGCTGGGATCAGAGCCTGCGAGAGAGGTGGGCAGTGGCAGCGTTCACTGCTGCTGCTAAGGCAGTTGCAGGAGGCACAGTTAAATCCAGATCTGATCAGCTTTACTGCTGGAATTAGCGCGTGCGAGAGAAGCGGGCAATGGCAGCATGCGCTGTCGTTGCTCAAAGAATTGCGTGAAGCAAACTTGAAGCCAGGGTTCGCCGCCTACATTGCCGGGATCAGCGCATGCAGAGATTTCGGCTCGTGGCGGCATGCGACGTCGCTGTGGGACGAGTTGCGGGACGCGAGGTTGGAGTTGGATTTTGCCGACTACGTCGCTGCAATCATGACGTGCGGGGACGAGTGGCAGCGGGCGCTTGCGCTGCTGAGCGAGCTGCGCGGAGCGAGGCTGGAGCCTGACTTCGTCAGCTACAGCGCTGCGATCAGCAGCTGCGAGGAGGGCGGGCAGCGGGAGCGGGGCCGAACGCTGCTCGGCGAGCTGCAGGAGGCGCTGCTGGAGCCCAGCGCCGCCGGCTACAGCGCCGCGGCGAGAGCGTGCGACAAGAGCGGGCGGTGGCGCCAGGCGCTGTCGTTGCTCCGCGAGTCGCGGGAGGCTCGACTGGAGCCAGGCTGATCCTCTTATCGGGTGCTGCCGGGGGGGGGGGCCATGGCCTGGGGGGCCCCTGGTCTTTCCCCGCGGCCTCCAGGACGCAACGAGGTCCAGCCGGCCCCGGGGACCCCAGCATGAGCCGAGAGCCGGGGGCACCTCGGGCCAGGGGCACTCCTGTCAGCCCCCGATCGTGGTCCGCCGGCGTGGCCATCCCTGCAGCGTCTGCCCCCAGCTGCGTCGCGAGGAGGGGCCCTGCCTCGATGGGGCTCCTCGGGCCCTCCCGTGGCGCGCCGGGCGGCCCCGAGGAGCCCCCACCCTTCCCCCTGACGGCTCCAGCGGGCGGCGGCGACCGCCCTCCCACGTGACCATCTCCAGCGCCGCGGGGCCCCCCGCGCGCGGGAAGGGCCCCTGCCTCGAGCGGCGCCTCGGGCCCTCCAGCGGCGCCTTGGGCCGCCTCGGAGCTCCAGCGGCCCTCGAGGGGGCGACGGCGGCGGCGGCGGCGGCAATGTCAGCGGCGGTGGCCGTGGGCCGAGGAGCAGCGGGCGCGGGCCGCGATGGAGCAGAGTGTCGGCAGAGGAGGGCGGAGCGGAGGAGAGCGGAGTGGACCTGGGCGTCCAGGGGAGAAGCGTGGGCAGAGGGCGGGGGGGCGGATGTGCTTGTGCATCCTGGGGAGGGTGCCCTTGGATGTTCTGCGTGTTTGGGCCCGTGGAGGGTCTCGTGTTCTTGAGGGATGCTGTTCCGTCCAAGGTCCCTCTATAGCAGGAGACCGTCCATTCCCCCTCTCGATGCTGCTGTCGCACGCTTCTCCTGTCATCTCGGCCAGTATGTTGCCCCCCACTGCTACGGTCAGTGTGGGAGGAGGTTTGGCTCGGGGCGCAGGGCAGGATAAGAACGCTGAAACGTGAATTCAGGAGTGCAGGCTGCGGATTCGTCCTCATGCCTCTCTCGAACAGAACAGGAGATGGAGGAGGTGGAGGAGGAGGAGAAGCATGCGATTGGTGTGATTAGACATCCCGTAGGGACAAGTAAGTCAAAGACAGGGGGCACAGGAACAATACAGTCAGGAGCGTTGATTTAGCGTGTCGCGCGGCTGGGGCTGGCCAACCACGCGTCGACACGACACTCTTACCACGTCCCAGTCCCCAAGCGTCAACGTCCAGAGCCTTACCCAGCCTCCAGCGGAGCGGAGCGGAGCGACGCGCTATCAGCTCGGAGGGCATAGCGTGTCGCCGGGGACGCCGCCGCGACACGCTAAGCAAAAGCTCCCTATCGCACAGGCGGTCTGCATTTCCTGTCAGAACGACTGAATCAAAGATACAGGGTTAAGGAGGTTCAAGTGTCGGGGGACAAACAATGACATGAGCATAAGCATAAACTTTCGGAGGTCCGCGCGGATTTCTTGGATCGGCGCTGGATCCCCCTCCCTGGCGCGCGGAGCCTGTCAGGGGCGGCGCCGGAGGCGCCGCAAGAGGGGGCCGAGCGGCGATGCAAGCAGTCAACGCGGACCTCCGAAAGTGTATGTTTATGTCATTGTGTGTTCCCCCCGAGTGAGACCATTTACTGGTTAGGTCCTCCAAGCGTCTGTCATTGGGCTGCCCGTGCCGGGCGGAACGCAACTGGAGGTCACCGAGACCATCGCGTTCATGTCATCTCGTTCTCATGGGAAGGATTCGGGGGGGCAGTTACCTGGGTCCAGTGATAAAGGGAGGCGGGTTTTACCGATGCTCCAACTCTGCAGTGCCCCCCTCCGAGGGGTTGTCAGGGACGCGGGCTCTCCGCGTGAGGGGTCGGAAGCGCCTGGGCCCCTCGCGCAAAGCAATTGCTTGCCCAGGCAGGCCTCAAGTAGGGTATCCCGGGACGGGCGATGACCCGGGGTTGACGCCCTGGGCGGCCCAAGATGGGAGAGTGAGGATGGGGCCAGGAAGCAAGGCAAAGCAGCGCAAGAGGAAGGAGGAGAAAGAAGGGGCAGAAGAGAGGGAGAGAGAAAGAGATACAGAACATGCAAGAGAGGTAAAGATAGGGGTGCAGAGAGACAGAGGGACAGATACGGACAGACAGACCGTAAGACAGACAGGCAGGCAGGCAGGCACGCAGGCAGGCAGACAGGCAGACAGACAGACACACAGATGCACAGAGATGGAGAGACAGAGCGAGAGAGATGCCAGGAGAGCCAGCGGCGGCAGCGGGAGGAGAGAGAACGGCGACGCATGAACGAAAAGAAAGACGGCGGAGCAAGGAAGGGAAGATGGGGGCCGCCTGGCCCGAGACCAGCGGACGGAATCGGCATGTACGCATCTGGAGGAGGAGAGGAAGGAGCAGAAGGAGGCTGAGCCTGCGCTCGAAGCAGCGGAGCGCGAGGCGGAAATCACTGCGGAGGCAGTGCCGCCCGTCTTCTCGGAGGCTGCGCTGCATGCGGCGGGTCCCCGTCGAGTCGTGAAAAAAACACGACGCGAGGGTCTATGCGATGCAAAACCGGCTCCAGGGAAACGGTCGGGACTTCGGGGGGCCCGCGTCAAAAAAGTCCAGGCTCAGAGATCGGCGACAGATCTCACTCGTGGTGCCAGGGCGCGCGCGCTGTTTTGTGTGCGTACGTGTGTGGGTGTGCATGTAGGGTAGGTGTAGGCGCGTAGGTGTGTAGGTGTGTAGGTGTGTAGGTGTGTAGTTGTGCAGGTGTAGGTGTAAGAGTAGATGTAGGTGCAGGTGTAGGTGTAGGTGCAAGTGTAGGTGCGTGTGTGCGGGTGTGCGTGTGTGCGTGTGTGCGTGCGTGTATGTGTACGTGTGTGTGTGTGTGCCATCTCTAATTGCGATTCAGGCAGTGGTTGGGTGGTCGATCCTCCGCTCATCGTCACCACTACAGGGGCACACTGCAACTGCGGCTGACCTCTCGCGCAGCGTCTGCTTAACGTCTGCGTCTGTTGCTACGCGTGCGGCACCGCACGCGCCCGACCCTCGGTCGGGTCGGCTGCCCTCTCGCGCTGCTTCTCCCCCCTGCCCTAGTTCTGCCCTGAGGAGCATCCTTGATCATTTCGCGAAAAAACCACGCACGAAATCGAAAAAGGCACAGGAAATGGACGTCCGAGCGATGGCCAGGTGCGCGGTGCTGCTGCACCGGCCTCGCCCGCACACCCTTTGTTCCGCGCGTGAGCCGCGCTGTCGTGACGTCTGCCCCCCCCCGCCCGCTGCACCTGGCGCCTGCCTGTGCCACACCCCGCCAGTCGGCTGGTCTGGCAGCCCTTAGATCGGGGGCGGCAGAGAGGGGGGTGATGACTAGGGGGGGGGGAATATCATGGCGGGGGCCATGATATTTCCCCAGATTTTAGGGCGCCTCTTCTCATTTTAATGCGTCCCTGGCCCCCCCGCTGGGCCGCACACATGCCGCCGGTCATAATTTGCTCCCCCCCCCTCTTGGACACCCCCCTCTTGGCCGCTCCCGATTAGAGTTCACCATCACTGTCCAACATCGATAGCTCCATGAGCACCGAGCTGATCGCGCTTCACAACAAGCACCTTGAGTCGAGCTCGCTCTCGCGTGCTCCTCGGTTTCTGTTCGCCGCTGGGATACAATCCCTCCTACCCACCACCCGCTCTGCACGTCGACGCTTCTTTCACTGCGCTTTTCGATCAAGGTCGATCGCAATTAGCACCTCCATCTGCCTTTCGCGCTTGAGGACCCTCTGCGCCGCTGACTTACAAGTGCCTGCGATTGTGCGTGTGTGCGTGTGTGTGTGTGTGAGTGTGTGTGTGTGCGTGAGCGAGTGAGAGAGTGTGTTCGGCGTGCCCTCGTCGGCAGGCACTGGCATCGTCCCCATCACCGCATCGTGCCACCCCTATGCGTGCCGCCCGCGGCGTCTGTGCGTGTCTGTCTCCTGTCGTGCACTGCTGCCTTTTTTCTGAGCATTTGCCAGCCGCCTGCTGGTTGGCCCCCCTCGGCAAACGCTCGGTGGTAGTTTTCTTAGCGCATCCCACGAATGCCTTCGAAGAGTTAGACCAGCCGGCCACGAAGCAAACAAATGATGATGATGACTATGATGCTGGGCACCTCGCGCGGCGTGTCGGGCGGCCGCTGCCAGAGGCTTCCGGAGTCCCAAACCGGGTCAGAGATGCCCGAAGACAGCGAGCGTCCATCTTCGATGCCCCCCCTCGGCACCGACCCTCGCTCTTCTGTTTTCTGCTTCCCTTGCTTAGATGTTGTGTTTCTTCTTCCGAAATCCTTTGTTTGCTGTACCTAGAAAAACAAGATCGCCCCAGGCCAGCTATCGCGATTGCCTGGTGCTGAAAACAACAGTTGGTTTACAGAAAACAGCATGGGAGGAAGGTCCCACTGTGGTCTGGCCATCGTTCCTGAGGCTTCTGGCCACAAACCTGCGATTCAAGATGCAACATCGCCCGAAAACAACATCGGGGCTCGTGAGGAATGGACTACCTATAGACCCTTGCCGCCAACCTGAGCTTCCGAATGCCAGCTCAACGGGAGGCGGGCGGGGCCAGGGCGAGGACAACCGTTCCAGAGCGCTCCGAGGACGCTCGCGGCGCGTTCCGGAACGCCCTGAGAGGGCCGCGGCGCCGTCCAGAGCCGCCGGATCTCAGAGATTCTCGATTCATCTTCGCCCGACGTTATATCTTCGTCCTGTCGGGCAGGACGAAAGGGGGGGATTGGGAAAGGACCGAGGGGCCCATTCCTCGATACATGGCCGCCTCCGGCGCCAGAAGGCGCCGGGAAAATCAGCTACGTGAGCTGATTCTCAAACCCCCCCTTTGCTATCCCCCTCTTTCGCCCGACCCGATCCTGGCTCCGTCTTCGGGAGCACGCCGTCTGTCAGTCCTGCCGCCCCCCCACCCCGGCGCCGCAGCCGAGCTGGGACCCCTCCAGCTTCAAGGGCAAGCCCCGGCCGCTGCGCCGCGCCCAGCGCGCGCGCCTCCGCGGCACGCAAGAACAGATGGAGGAGGCGGAGGCGGAGCAGGAGGAGGAGAAGGAGAAAGAGAAGGAGAAGGAGGAGAGGGAGGAGAGGGAGAGAGCGAGGGAGGGAGGAGGGGGTTGCGGAGGAGGAGGAGGAGGGTGAGAAGGAGGAGGAGGAGGAGGAAGAGGAGGAGAGTAAGGAGCTGTTCGAACGTGTTCCGTTGTTCGCGGGGCCCTGTGCGATTCCACGAGGTCGGCGAGCTCCATCAGAAAGGGAGTGGGAAGAGGGACCTCCTGCTGCTGCTGCTCCTGCTGTTCCTCTTCCTCACTCTCCCCCTCCTTGCCATCCTCTCGCCCCCATCAGGTAGCCCATCTTCTCCCGCTCGCCCCCTCCCCCTCCACTTCCTTCCGCTTCTCATTGTTCTCCCCAACCGTCCTCCTCCTTATCTCCCTCCCTCTCCTCCTCCTCCTCCTCCTCCTCATCCTCCTCTTGTCGCTGTACACCCCCTTCAACTTCACTCAAGGAGCTTAGGCAGGAGGAGGAGGAGGAGGAGGAGGATGCGGACGCCGACGGCGCGGCACTTTGAACATCACTTGGGATCTGTTGCGGGGCCTCTTGGAGGCCTTTGGGCCGGCCTCCTGGGAGCCTTTTGAATGGTTCCTGGGAGCCTGTTGGCGCCCTTTGGGGAGGTCCTGGGAGCCCCTTGGGGGCGCGTTGGAGGTCTTGGGGGCCATCGTGTAAGGGAGGGATCCCGACGCTTCCTCGAGTTCCCCTTCTTTGGGCCCATCTTGGGGCCGTCTTGATCTTTTCGGTTGTTTTGGTGGCATCTTGAGCCGTCTCTAGTTTCTTTACTAGATTCGAAATTGTGAGAACACAAGATTCCTCCGGGGGATCAATGGTTTCTCCCTCTTGGGGCCCTTTTCGGGGTCATCTTGGAACCCTCCTGGGCCGTCTTGATGGCCACGTGGGCCGCATCGAGGCCATGTTGTGTGTTCTCGAGGCCTCCCTGGCGCGTCAGAGGCCGTCGCTTAACCCATCTTGGTCGCATCTTGGGCATCCCGGAGGCCACCGGAAGTGGATCTGGAGGCTTCGAGGGCTCCCGAGCACCGATGATGATCAGGAGAGGAAAACACACAGACACAATTAATCGTCGATTCCCTAGAAAATATTGGAAAATATGGGGGGGGGGGGAGACAGAAACCCAGAAAATATAGGAAAATATGGGGAATGATTTTATTTGTGTGCATTTATTTGTGTGTCCTGGGGCCCCTTCAGATGAGTTCCCAGTCCACCCCCGCGCGGGGCCCCCCCCCCTCTCATGCGACGTTGGACCTCTGGGGAGGGGGAAAGGGGGAGGGGGGGCAGCCAGGTGTCTCACAGGAGGGAGGAGGGAGGAGGGAGGAGGGAGGAGGAGGGAGGAGGGAGGAGGGAGGAGGGAGGAGGGAGGAGGGAGGAGGGAGGAGGGAGGGAGGAGGGACGCCTCTCCCTGGGCAAGTGGGGATCGGCAGAGGCCATCCTGTGCTCGTGCGGTTCCTGTAGCTGGAAGGATGGGCGGTGGCTTTGTGGGCCCCGGAAACGGCAGGGCCGTTTTTTGCACCGTTTCCAGAAAAATGTCCATTGAAAATGGAAACGGCAAAAAAACGGCGACCAGAAACGGCAAAAAAACGGCTCCAGGATCATAACTGGAGCCGGAACCGGTCCAAAAACGGCGACGGAACCGGTCAAAAAACGGCGTCGGAACCGGCAAAAAAAACAGCAAAACGGAACCGGTAAAAAAAACGGCCTTGTCGTTTCCAGGGCCCACTAAGGGCGGTGGATCCTTCACAGAACGGGTTCTCGCTCGAGTGGCAAGCCCACCGGGCGCTGGTCGTTCAAGGGGGGGCGTTCCCCACAGCGGACAGGAGTCAGGGAGGAGGAGGAGGAGGAGGAGGAGGAGGAGGAGGAGGAGGAGGAGGAGGAGAGGAGAGGAGGAGGAGGAGGAGGAGGAGGAGGAGGAGGAGGAGGAGGAGGGAGGAGGAGGAGGAGGAGGAGGAGAGGAGGAGGAGGAGGAGGATGGAGGAGGAGGGAGGAGGAGGAGGAGGAGGAGAGGAGGAGGAGGAGGAGGATGAGGAGGAGGAGGATGAGGAGGAGGAGGAGGAGGAGGAGGAGGAGGAGGAGGAGGAGGAGGAGGAGGAGGGAGGAGGAGGAGGAGGGGAAGTTGCACGGCAGCATCGCGGGTGCTGGGCCGGGTTTGCTCCGGTCCTCCCCCTGCCCCCCTCCTGGCGCCGACGCCGCTGGCGCGTGAAGCCTCAAAGGATGCGGTCGTCCCGCTTTCTCCTCCTCCTCCTCCATTGCCTCCTCCTCCTCCTCCTCCTCCTCCTCCTCCTCCTATTCCTCCTCCTCCTCCTCTCCTCCTCCTCCTCCTCCTCCTCCTCTCCTCCAGCTGTCATCCCGCCTCCTCCTCCTTCTCCTCCTCCTCCTCCTCCTCCTCCTCCTCCTCCTCCTCCTCCACAGCGTGGGAGGGCCGAAGGGTCATGAGCTGCCCCTGGGTGCGTGACGGCAGTGGCGCTCCGTCCAGCGCGTTCTGGTCGTTGTGCTGTCGTTGCGTCGTCGTCGTCGTCGTCGTTGTCGTCCTCGCCCGGGACCCACCCCCGCGACCCAGCCCGCGACTCATTCGCGACCCACCCGTGATCCACCCGCGACCCACACCGCGCCCGCACCCCCACTCTTGTCCGCAATTGCTGGGTGCTTCGCATTCTCCTCTCCCCCCTGGCCGCATCCGGAAAATAGCCGGCCCTCTCGGTGTTTTGTTGTTCTGCACGGCGCATGTCATCAAGCATCGTTTGTTCTTATGGCTAATGATTGTTCAGTGTTTCAAGACCGGTGCTTCAAGATGGTGTTCGCGCTGCAGCGTGGGCCTCCTGATTTTCCCATCGGTGCCTTGCTCCCGTCTTTCTGAACGGCGCTCTCGCCCCAGCGCGGGCCACTGTTCCGGATCCGAGTCCTCCTTTCTTATCGTTGTCGCCCGCCCCCATTCGCCTTCCTCCGCCTGCCCCTGGTGCTCCACCCGCTCCTTCCAAGCCAGCTCGTGCTTCTGGTGCTCGTCCTCGTCCTCCTCCTTCCTCATCCTCCTGCTCTTCCTCCTGCTCATCCGCCACCTCATCCGCCACCTCCTCCTCCAATCCAATGTGCGCGGCTCCGTTTTTGTTTCCGCTCGCGCACCACACGAAGGGGCCTCCCTTGCAGCTCCAGGTCCGCGCTGACCCGCGGCGGCGGATACCGAACAGCGCAAGGAGGAAGGCTGGGCGGGAGGGGCAGGATGCCAGAGGTGGCCCGAGCGCACAGGGCTTGTCCTCCCCCCCCTCTGCTCCCCCCCTCCCTTCCTTCCTCCCCCCCCCCGCCTCTTCTCGGGGTGACGAGTGTGCCCCAGAGCTTTGATTTCGTGCATCTCACCGTCGAGTTTCAAGCTGCTTGCAGAGTTTGGCTTGGTGATGCACACGGTGAAAAAGAAAATCCCTCCCCCCTGCCTCCCCTGAAGTCCTGGCGGCTCCATCTCTTCGAGCCGGGCGCTCTCGCTCGAGTTCGGGCCCCGAGCCTGGGGGACCCTCGCAGATCGATGCGGCTCGGGAAGTGACGCAGGAAGGTGGGGTCCAGGGCTCTTGGCATCGCTCGGACGTGTGCATTTTTTCCCTCGGCGAGGACCTTCGAGGAGCATCCTCGACCATCTGGCGAAAAAGCACGCACGAGACCGGAAAAAAAACACAGGGAATGGACGTCCGAGCGATGGCCAGGTCGTGATTCCTCACGAGGTCTCAATCTTGGGCCGCCGTCGGGTCTCAGGGTCCTTCCTCCCACCCGTCCCGCGGACCTCCTCCTCCTCCTCCTCCTCCTCCTCATCCCCCTCCTCCTCCACCTCCTCCTCCTCCTCCTCCTCCTACGGGCGGGGGCGGCGCGGCGGGCGGCGCCCACCCGAGGCAGTGCGGCAGCATCTGGGACATCCCCACCAGCCGCTTCCCGGAGCCAGAGGCGCGGCCGCCGCCGAAGGCCCCGAGGGGGAGAGGGGCGTCGGCGGCCAGATCTCCGACGAGGTGCTGTCGCTCGGCGGCGAGCGAGGGGGGGGGGAAGCGAGAAGGAGAAGGCCTTCTCAGAGGGTTCGGAAGCCCCCTGGCCCTTCGGAGAAGTCTTCGGAGCCTTCCCCGAAGGCATCAACACAAAAAAGGCTCAGAAGGCGCGAGGGCTTCTGGGAAGGTCCGCCGCCTTCTGAGAAGGTCGTCTCCTTCTCACTTCCCCGCCGAGTTGAGCAGTTCAACCAAGAAACAAACTACACCAAGCAGCATACTCCGTGTTTCTTAATCAGCGGGGGGGGGGGGGGGCGTCACCCCCGCCGACAGCCCTGCATCGACCCCCGTCGCGGGCAGCCACCGCGCGCCGAAGGCGCTCCGACCCCCGTCGCGGCGCAACGACAAGGCGAGGAGGACCCCCGTCGGGGGGGTACCTCCCCACGCTTATGAAGAAACCCAGAGCACGACCCGCTGAGTCGTAGGTGGGTCGTAGGTGGAGTGATGTGGCAGGTGGGCCACGGGTGGTCGTAGGTGGGCAAGTGCCCAAACCTTCGACATCGCCGGGGCGAGGGTTCGTTTGTCGGGGGTGGACAGGACCCCCCACAGTGACACGTCGATTGATGACTTGTCCGTGTTCGGTTCTCGAGATGGCGCCGTGGCCGATCTTTTCCGGGCTTGCGCCCGCCAGGTTTGGGCCTCGGGTCGTTTTCACTAAGCCACGTTCTACCAAAAGGGGGGTCTGTGAGGAGGAGGAGCAGGAGGAGGAGGAGGAGGAGGGGGAGTAGGAGGAGGAGGGGGAGGAGGAGGAGGAGGAGGAGGAGGAGGAGGAGGAGGAGGAGGGGGGAGGAGGAGGACCAGGCTAAGCACAAGACGCATCAACGATGTTGCAAGAAAGCCTCCCTCCAAGTTCCCTCTTCATGGGTCCCTATAAGAATGTATCTTCAGTGCGGGAAGTGGCCCATCAGAAGACAGCGTCTGAAAATCCCCAATCGCACCAAAACATTAGTCCCGGGACCTTCACACTGTGGATCAACGTGACTGTTGCGTCCCCACAGTCTTAAATCGCGCCAGGCTTGGGACTTCAACGCCGCGAATCAACGTGTCTGTCGCGTCCTGACAACCCTAAAGCGCGCCAGAACACAAACCTTGGGACTTCAACCATATGAACCCTTGAACATGTCGAACAGTTGAGATCGAACGCGCGCTACCCTAAGGCGAGAGGCACATGTTTAAAAAGAACCGTCCCCGATCGTTTTAAAATGTCGCTCACTTTTAAGACGGGTGTGCGCGGCGGAAAGGCGAGAGCTGCATTTTGAAACGGAGCCGCCCTCCATTCCTGAAACGGCTGCAAATGTTTAAGACGAATGAGCGCGGAACTCAGCCGACAGCCACATTATGAAAACGGCCCACCCCCATCCGCGAAATTGTTGCAAGTCTGAAATTTCAGGAACAGACGTAGTGAGGAAGCCCCAGGCGAAACGTACTGCCCGCCCTACCGACACGCCTGGCGGTGCGACAGGGAGGAGTTATCCATAGGTAAAAGGGATGGAGGCGAAGGGGGGGTAGTGGGACGGGGGTTGGACAAGCTAGGTGCGCTCGCGCCGTATCCGGCATCCGATCCCTCCCCTCTATCCCTTCCCATTGCGCGGATGGTTCTCTATCCGCGGAAGCATGTCACTGCCGACCTGGAATTCAAAGAGGACGTCCCCGATAATGTTATGCGCAATCGGAAGAGGGAACTGCGTACACAGGAGGAGGAGGAGGAGGAGGAGGAGGAGGAGGACGTGGCGGGTGAGCAGGAGGGTGAGCAGGAGGACAAAGAGGAGGGAGAGGAGGAGGAGGAGGAGGAGGAGGAGGAGGAGGAGGAATTGGAGGAAGCACGAGGACGAGGACGAACAGCAGCAGCACGAGCTGCTATGGAAGGGATGGGAACATCAGGGGGACGAGGAGGAGGCGGAGGAGGGGAAGCGAGCGGGGCGACAGCGATGCAAAAGACTTCGGATCCAGAAAAGAGTGTCCCGCGCTGTGGCGAAGAGCGCCACTCGGCACGACGGGAGCCAAAGCGCCGATCCGAAAATGAGGCCCACGCTGCAGCAGGAGCACCATGTGGAAGCACCGAGAGCAAGGGGATTCCAGTCGGGGCCCTGAAGAAGGAACCCTTTTGGTTGGGGAGGGGCTCCGCGTTCCTTAAGTGCTTCACAGCTTGTCGCATGTTTTCCTTATGTTTTCGATGGGAAATCGAAGTTTAATCTATGGAGAAGAGGCGCCTCGTTCCTTCTTTAGGGTTCCTTAGGTCAACGCCCCGACTGTACAAATAAACCGTAAGACAAAATATGTACAGAGTCCTGGATGTAAGAGGGCAGTGCGCAGAGAGGGCCCGACATCTTCCAGATAGTGTCAGAGGGGAAAGGATGTTCATAATGTGCAGTTGTGGAGGAGCACCAGCGACAGCGTGAGGAGAAGGGAGGGAGGGGATAAGGAGAGAGAGTGGCGGGTCGGGAGGGAGGGGTGGAAGGATGGAGGGAGGGGGGGAGGACGGAGGGGGGGGGTTGGAGGAGGAGGAGGAGGAGGAGGAGGAGGAGGCGGATGGGAAAAGTGGAGCTGGAGGAGCGGATGTTCGAATGCTTCCAAGAACAAAGTGAAACAAACGACGACTCGACGCAGAAATCCTCACATGTGCATCTCAGTTCCTTGCGCTTCCGTCTGTGAGTATCAGCTTGCGGCGACCACGCGATCTCTGACGGCTCCCCCTTGGAGCCTCGGGACTTCCCCACGATCTACTCTGAAAAGCAGAAGGGCCCAAGCAACGAACCCAGCAAACCGCTCGAGGCGTCCCCGCATCCTGGCCGCGAGCGGGCGAATGCAGAACCCGCCGACGACTTCCCGCCGGAAGGTGCCCGCATGCCACGCCTGCTACGCCGCGGTGGCCATGGGATTTTCAAGAGGCAGGAATCCGAGAGGCAGTCGCAGGTGAACTGAGTGAGGCATTTCCACAGTCTGGGGGACGCTTCCTGATCGGTCCTGCCTCCTCCGCAGTGTGCTCTGACGCTCTTGCTGACCAACGTTAGTCCTAACTTGCGCAGCTCTCGACAACAGTTGCTGTGGTGTGAAAGCTGCGCCTGCTGGCTTGCCCTCATGCACTGACTTAGTCCATGAGCGCGTCCTGCATGCCATGGCGCGCGCCCGGCGGGACTTGGGCAGCCCCGGAGTATGGACAAAAAAATCTACAATCTGGGCTGGAGCACACAAGTGTAGCACTCGCTGGCGGCTCGTGCTCGAACGGGCGAGTGTGACCCTCCATGGCGGCTCCCCGCTTGGGATGCCCAAGCGCCACGCCTGACACGTCGCGGTGGTCAGTGGGGTCACAGAAAGAGAAGGCCCATAGGGGGGCAAAGCATCCAAACCTTTCTACAAAGACATCCACACAACATGTGCGCGAACGAAACACCCCGTTGGCGGCCCACCCCTTGGAGCACCCAAGTGCCACGCGTGCTAGGTCGCGGTGACCATGGGGCTTCCGAAAGGGAGGAGCTCGTGGGGCAACAACGGGCAGATCGCCTGGGACGTCCCCGATGTCTGGGCACGAACGGGCGAGTGCAACACCTCCACGATGGTGCCCCCGCCCACCCCCATCGGGATGCCCAAGCGCCCAGCGTGCTGCGTCGCGGTGGGGCAATGGGGCTCCCAAAAGAGATGATGTGGGGTGATCCGGGGGGGGGGGAGGGGAACAGGCAACCCGCTTGGGGCGGCACCAGGAGATAGGCACGACCACGCGAAGTGTAGCGCCCCTTGGCGGCCGCCCCCCTCGGGATGCCCAGGCGCCACGCCTGCTGTGCCGCGGTGATCATCGGGCTTCAAAAGAGAGGGGCCTGGAAGGCAAAACAAAGCAAACCGTTGGACACGTCCCCACGTCCTGGGCGGGAACAGGCGAGTGCAACACCCCGGTGTGGCGCACCCGTCGGGATGCCCAAGCGCCACGCGATGCCGCGGCCAGCACGGGGCGTCCAGAAGAGAGGGCCTGGGGCGGCGAAAACAGGCGAAACGCGTGAGACTTCCCCTCAATGTGGGCGTGAACGGGCCCCTCCCTCGGGCAGCCCACATGCCACGCTTGCTCTGCTGCGATCACCATCGCGCGAGTTTGAATGACCAGATTGTGAGTGATACGTGCGTATGAGTATGAGCGTGGTTTGGCTGTGCCTGAACGGACCTAAGCTGGAGCGGCCAGTGTTGGAGTGGGTCCGAGCATGAGCAAGTCTGAGTATCAATAAGTCTGAGTGTGAGCGAGTCTGGGCGTAAGCGACCCGGGCGTGAGCTGAGCATGCTTGAATAAGTCTTAGTCTGGGTGGGGCTGGGTGTGAGTGAGAGTGGGTATGGGTGACCTGAGTGTGATGAGAGGAAGGAAAGACGCGGGACCGATGGAGTGAGGGAGGCGTCCCAGTAACAATAAGAACCCCATTCTCTGGATATGGTGAAATGGTTATACGTAGGAGGCTCCCGAGGGCGGGGGCGTGGTGGGGGAATGATGAGAAGGAGGAAGCAGAGGAGGGAAAACGAGCAGGATGAGGAGCGGGTCCTCGAACGATTTCAACGAGCTTCGGAGCTTACGGAGGGGTTTGGCTGTTTCTATGGTTTTTAGAGGAAGGGTCGGGGAGGACGAGGCAGAAAGAGAGGAGGAGAACCAGCAGAAGGATGGCGCTGACGACGGCAGCGGCGGCGTCGGCGAGGACGCCGACGACGACGACGACGACGACGACGACGCCGACGCCGACGACGACGCCGACGACGACGACGACGACAGCGACGTCGACGACGACGACGACGACGCCGACGACGACGACGACGACGACAGCGACCGCGACGACGACGACGACGACGACGACGACAGCGACGATGACGACGACGACGACGACGACGACGACGACGACGACAACGACGACGACGATAGCGACAGCGACGACGACGACGCCGCCGCCGACGCCGCCGACGACGACGACTACGGCGACGACGATGACAACGATGACGACGATGACGACGACGACGACACCGCCTCCTACGCCGCCGCCGACGACGACGACGGCGGCGACGACGATGACAGCGACGACGACGACGACGCCGCCGACGACAACGACAGCGGCGACGACGACGACGACGGCGACAGCGACGAGGACGACGACGACGACGCCGACGCCGACGACAACGACGACAACGGCGACGACGACAATGGCGCCGCCGACGACGACGACGGCGACGACGACGGCGGTAACGACAGCGACGACGACAATGACGACGATGACGTCGACGGCGACGACGACGACAGCGACGTCGACGACGACGACGACGACGACCACGACGCCGCCGACGCCGCCGCCGACGACGACGACAGCGACCGCGACGACGACGACGACAGCGACGATGACGACGACGACGGCGACGACGACGACGACGGCGACGACAGCGACGCCGACGACGACAACGGCGACGACGATGGCAACCACGACGACGACGTCGCCGCCGCCCACGGTGGCCACGACGACAACGGCGACGACGATGACGACGCCGACAACGACGACACTGACGTGGACGCCGCCGACGACCGCGACAGCGACAGCGACGCCGATGAGGACGACGACGATGACGACAGCGACTGCAACGTCGACGACGACGACGACGAAGCGTCGGCGACGACCACGACGAAGACGACGACGACGATGATGCCGACGACGGCGTCGACGGCAGACAGAGCGACGCCGACGACGAAGACGTTCCCGACGACACCGACGACGACGACAACGCCGACGATGATGACAACGGCGACGATGACAACGACGCCGCCGACGACGACAGCGACGACGACGACGACGACAGCGACGACGACGACGCCGACGACGACGACGACGACAGTGACAGCGACGACGACGACGTCGACGACGACATGCACATCGACGACGACGACGATGCCGCCGCCGCCGCCGCCGCCTACGCCTCTGACGACGACAACGACGACGACGACGCTGACGACGACAACGACGCCGACGACGACGACGCCAGCGTCAGCGACGACGACCTCTGCGACGACGACGACGACCACGACGACGACGACGCCAACGCTGATGACGACGACGACGACGACGACAGCGACAGCGAGGACGACGACAGCGACGTCGACGACGACGACGACGACGACGACGACGACGACGACGACGTCCGCGACGACGACGACGATAGCGACAGCGACGACAACGACGACGACGACGACGACGACCACGACGCCGACGACCACGACGAAGACGACGACGACGACATCGAATGCGGCGGGAGCTGCGACTACGTTTGTCGCTGGTGGCTGCAGCGACGACAACGGCGACGTTGGTGAGAATGACGTACGACGACGACGACGATGACGGCGACGACGATGACAGCGACGATGACGACGACGACGACCACGACGACGACATTGCCGACGCCGCCAACGATAACGGCAACGGTGACGTCGACACGACGACGACGACGACGACGCCGCCGCTGCCGCCGCCGACAACAACGACGACAGCGACGACGACGACGACGGCGACGACGACGACGCAGACAACGACGACGGCGCCAACGACGACGACAGCGACGAGGACGACGACGACGACGATGCCAACGACGACTTTGATGACGACAGCGACGTCAACGTTGACGAAAACCACAACGACAACGACGACGACGCCGACGACGACGACGACAGCGACGACGACGACGATGACGACGACAACAGCAACGACGACGCCGACGACGACGACAGCGACGACGACGACTACGATGCCAACGACGACTTTATTGACGACAGCGACGTCAACGTTGACGAAAACCACAACGACAACGACGACAACGCCGACGACGACGACGACAGCGACGACGACGACGACGATGACGACGACGACAGCAACGGCCACGACGACGACGACGTCGATGACAGCGACGACGACGACATTTCCGGTGGCGGCAACGACGACGACGACAACATTCACGATGGCGGCAACGACGTCGACGACGACGCCACGGACGACGACGATGACAACAGCTACAGCGACGTCGACGACGACTACGAAGCCACGACGACGACGACGACGACGACGACCACAACGGACGACGACGACGATGATGATGACGACAGCAACGACGACGACGACGTCGACGACGAATGCGACGACGACGACATTAACGATGGCGGCAATGACAACGTCGACGACAGCGGCGACGACGACATTTACGATGGTGGCAACGACGACGACGACGACAGCGAGGAGGACAATGCCAACGACGACGACGACGACGACGCAGACAACGACGACGTAGGCAACGACGACGACGGCGACAGCGACGCCGACGACGACGATGCCAACGACGACTTTGATGACGACAGCGACGTCAACGTTGACGACGACGACGACAACCACAACGACAACGACGACAACGCCGACGACGACGACGACGACGACGACAGCGACGACGACGACGACGACGACAGCAACGACGACGACGACGACGACGTCGATGACAGCGACGACGACAACGACATTCACGATGGCGGCAACGACGACGACGACGACGCCGACGACGACGACGATGACGACAGCTACAGCGACGTCGACGACGGCTACGACGCCACGACGACGACAGCGACGACGACCACAACGGCGACGACGACGTCAATGCCGACGACGACGACTACAGCGACGACGACGACGATGACGATGACGACAGCAACGACGAGGACGACGACGTCGACGAATGCGACGACGACGACATTTATAATGGCGGCAACGACGACGTCGACGACAGCGGCGACGACGACATTTACGATGGCGGCGACGACGACGACAGCGACGACGACGACGACGACGACGCCAACGACGACGACGACAACGACGACTACGACGACAGCGAATGCGGTGGCGCCGCCGCCGGCGCCGGCGCCGCCGCCGCTGGCGTGCGCAGCGACAACGACAACCACGACGACGACGACGACGACGACGACGACGACGACGACGACGGCGGCGGCGGCGACGACGACCACTGCGCTGCCTACGACGCCGACAACGACGACGACGACGACGACGACGACGACGACGACGCAGACGACAGAGACAGCGACGATGACGACGACGTCGGCGACGACGAAGCTACGACGACGGCGGCGACGGCGACGACGGCGACGACGACGACGGCGACGGCGACGACGACGACGATGACGATGACGGTCGCGGCGGCGGCGGCGGCGACGACGTTTGTCTCCGGCGGCGGCAGCGACGACGACGGGCGCGCGCCCCGACAGGCGAAAAAGCCCAGCGCCAGCGAGCGCGACGCGCCGAAGCTGGCCACCAGCGGGGGCGCCCGGGCGCCGGTCCAGGAGCGCCCCCACTACCTTGAGATCCGACGGCGAGACGAAGTCGAGATATGCTTTACACGCCAGTCGTTAAAAGTAGGTATTTCTAGACTCCCAGATCCCAATCTACTTCAAGCGCCTTCCTACTTCAAGAGTCGACACGCTTCTGCTGTGCTGTGTTATTCCCTGGGGGGGCCTGGACCCAATCAGCTTCATCAGCCTTGCGGCTCGAGCGGAGCTCGAGCTCCGCACCTGCGCCGACGACGACGACGACGCCGACGCCGACGACGACGACGACGACGACGTCGACGACCTGCGACGACGCCGACGCCGACGACGACGACGACGACGCCGACGCCGCCGCCGCCGACGACGACGCCCACGGCGACGCCGACGACGACGACGGCGCCGCCACCCTCGCCCAGGCACCTGCGCCGCCAGCGCGTCTGGCCGGGGCCATCTTGGGCCCGAGGGGGCGCAGAGGCCCCCCATAGCCTCAGCCAGGAGGGCGCCTGCGCCGCGCCTGAGCACAGGATGGCCCTGGCACGATCGCGAGCACGACCACCACCGCCGCCACCACCGCGACAGCAAAGAGCACCACCACGATCGCCGCGTTAACGACGGTGGCCATGACCACGACCACGGCGGCGACGGTGGCCACGATTGCCGACGGAGGCGGCGACCTCCCCCTGCCAGGAGGGCGGCGAGCGCTGTCACTGCCGCTGCCACATCCTCTGAGGCGCGCGGCGCCAGCGCTGCCCCCGCCCGCCGACCGGCACGCGGTCGCGCTCGACGCGCCGCCGCCGCCGCCGCTGGCGATGACGACACAATGCCGACGACGACAAAGACGGTGGTGGTGGTGGCCTTCGGCGGCAGCGGCGGCGGCGGCGACGACGACGACGGCGAGGGCGAGGGCGACGGCGAGGGCGGGGACGAGGGGCGAGGAGAACGACTACGATGGCGAGGACGACGACGAGGGCGTGGGCGGCGGGGACCCTTGACGAAGTGCGACGCGGACGAGGAGCAGGAGGGCGACGCGGACGGTCGTAGGCGGCAACAACGACGACGACGACGACGAGCAGATCGATACGGACGACCATCAGCAAGAGCAGCATGAAGAGGAGGGCGTGGGGATCGACAGGGGGTGATTTAGGATCACAGGGGTCAAGAATGTGCCAAGCGAAAACTCCATCATTAGACAGTGTACTCCATGCATACTTGTGTCGGCTGCACGTGTGTAGGGTTCTGACCAGAAGTCTTGCAGACAGAAGTCTTCAGCGAGATCCTCAGTTGGAAAAGGTGTCGCCCATCATCAACGTAAGAATTGTGAAGTTGTCTGTGACAGATCAGAGGGGACACTTTGAAAAGGCGCCACTGGCCAGCTGAGTTGCTGGAAAGTCCCACGATTTATGTGCTCGCCGCTAAGACGAGAGCAGCAATTCGAAAACGGGACGCACTCTATCCTTTGGATTGTGTAATTATGTTGCACATCATATGCGCAGCGCTGCAGCGATAGAGGCGCCTTGAAGATCATAAGTTCTTGACGCCCCCTATCCCCACCAGCCTTCGCCCCCTGGCGCCGGCCACCCCCCTTGCCCCTCGCCCGGCGCGGGCTGCTCGGAGCCCCCTCGACGCTCTGCCCCCGACACCGGCTCTGGGGTCCCAGAAGCGTCGGAGGCGTTTCACTGCCGTGGCCTGCTTCCCCACGGCGCCCCCGCCCAGCGGCCTATGCTCCGCACCAAGGCGCCGCCTGGGCTCCACCTTCTGCTGCACGGCCGGCGCGGGCCGTCACTTTCGGTCGTCCGCCCGCCCTCTGCTGCCCCCTCCGCCTCGGCCTCCCCGCCCGTTGTGGCTTGTGGCCTGCGGCAATCCTTCACCGGCCTGGGGCCGGCTGACCTCTCGGGCGCTTCCCACCGTGCGGGTTGTCTCCCCGACGGTCCCCAGCATGCTCGCGGCTGGGCGCTTCCGGTGCCTTCGGTCGATTGTATCGGTCCCTCCCCGGTGCGCAAGCGCCCGCCCGCACCCCCCGCGTCGCGTCACGCGGACTCGACACCAGTCCTCGACGGTGTCTGGCGATCGGGACCTCGGTCTGTTGAGTGCCTGCACGTGAGTTGGTCGACGCCTGGCGGCGCGTGTGACTCGCCCGCTACCATGTGACGAAGCGACCTTTGGTCCTGGCGCCTGCTCCTCGTGGTGCGTCTACGAGACGGTGGTCCCTGTCTTCCAGCACGCTCGCGGCGTCGCCCAACCGGAATCCCCGGCCACTTTGACGCTGCAATCCGCTTGGCGGCTTCCTCCCAGTCGACGGCGCCCTCTTCTGAGCGGCAGCGAGGCCCGCCTCCTGTTTGTTTCTCCCTCCGCTGTCCTCTCGTTGCCTCCCGTCCCCCCTTCCGGTGCGCAATTCGCTCGTAGCCCGCTTGCTGCAACTCGTGGACGGCGTCCGGCGTCTCCTGGTGCGCTTGCGATCAAAAAGTATCACCACCAGCCTATCCAGAAACAGATCGCCAGGCGAGTTGCCTTGATCAGGTATGTGTAGAAGCACGCAGCGGAACAACCACCTTGAAAGTGTTCGGGGGCGCTGAAACGACGGGAACACGTGTTGCGCTATGTAACGAATATTCCCATGGCGCGGCGGCTTCATTGGGGTCTTTTGGGGTCCCTCTTGGAGTTACTTTGAAACCGTTTCGGGGCGAGGAGAGTATCTTTGGCAACGGGAGGAGGAAGGAGGAAAGGAGAACGGGAGGAGGAAGAACGGGAGAAGAGAATGAACCAGTAAATGGGTGGGGGAGGAAGAAGGAAACGACGATGAAGGCGACGACGACAACGACGAGTCAACCACGAAACCGTCGCGGAGTTTCCGCTTCGCGAGCCGCTGGGAAGGCTTATTGAAACCCCCCTTTTGCAAAGATCCCTCAAACACCATGCAAAGGCCCTGCAAAGACCCCTACAACGACCCTGCAATGACCCCCAAAGACCCTGCAATGACCCTGCAATACCCTGCAGTCCGAGCCATCTTCATGCCTCGGAAGGCCATCGGAAGCCAAAAGGCGAGAACGCAAAAACACTGATGTGCCTGAGGTTGTTCAATGGTATTTGCCTCTTGAGGCCCTGTTGGTGCTCTTTTGGGGCGTCGTCGGGCTCCTTTCGGGGGGGGTCTGTGAGGCCTCTTGGGGCCATCTTGGGCCCCACTGCTCAAAGAGAGGGGGGGGTAATCAATTCAGCCTCCCCCCCCCTTGAGGCTCGAAAATTACCGTTTTGGGCTCTTCTGGGCCGCTTTGGGGGCGTTTTTGGGCGCTCGTGGGGCCATCTTGGGCTCTTCTTGGGGAATAGATTGGGCCATCTTGGGGCCATCTTGAGGCTTCGAAAATTTATCGGAAGCGAAACGTCGAGAAGGTCAAACACGTTGATGTTTGTTTTTGGTTGTTGCAGGGATTGGGTTTCTTGGGGTTTCCTTGGGAGGCTTGACGGGCACTTGCAAACGTCTTGGGGCTGTTCTGGGGCCTCTTGGACGTATGTCGGAGACTAGCTTGGACCATCTTGAAGTATCTTGGAACATGTTGGGGGCCATCTCGGGCTTTCTGAGGCCCTCTTGGAGCCCGCCAGCTTGGGACATTTCGGACGCTCCCATGGCGGGCGCGCCCCCCCTGTCCAAGGCCCGTTTTTAGCCAGCCGTCTAGCTCACTCCCACCCGCCCTGAGGGGGGTGATGACTAGGGGGGGGGATATCATGGCGTGGGCCATGATATTTCCTCTGATTTCATGGCGCCTCTTCTTATTTCATTACGTTCCTGACCCCCCCATGGGCCGCGCACATGCCGCTTGCCATGATTTGCGCCCCCCCCCCTCTTGGACGCCCCCCTCTTGGCCGCCCCAGAAGCACATAAGTAACACCCGAGCCTCGGCATGTTCAGCGGTCGTCTCTGGATGGGCAGCTGCTGGGAACCAGAACCGGCCCCACGTGCGCGACGCCGGGGCGAGGTGCGCCACGCGTGCCGGGCGCGCCACGCGCGCCAGGCACCTGGGGCCCGAGCGTGCCAGGCACGCCTCGTGCGCCAGATGCGCTGCGTGCTCCACGTGCGCCAGGTGTGCCGCAGACTCCAGCCGCGCCAGGTGCACCCCGTTCGGGGCACGTGCAGAGTGTGTCAGGTGCGCCTGCGCACGTGACAGCACACACGGGGAAACATGTCGGCCCCCACCATCCTTGTGGAAAACCAGTGTCCATCATGGTGTCTGGTGGGCCTGCGCACAGCGGGCCATGCGCCACCACCCCCGCCGTCCCCGTCAAAAACCACTTGACAGTGATCGCGGGGTGGCCGCGCACGATCCAGATTTAGCCGCGAGGTACATGTTGCATTGTTTTTTTGACAGGGGCGGTGGCCCTGCGCACAGCAGGCAATATGCTGACATCCCCGCCGTCCCTTTTCAACTAACAATTCAAAGTGCCCGCGGGCCTCACGAACATGACTCAAGACTTTGCCCCAAAGTGTATTTTGCATTGTTTTGTTGACAGGGGTGGTGGGGGGGGACCCGCATCGGGTTGGTTGCGCAGGCGCCGATGTTGGAGGCAGAGTGTGTTTAGTTTTGTTTTTGTCGACAGGGTTGTTTGTGGGTGGGGATCATAGGGTCAGCATAGTTACTGGTTGGCTGCCGGTCGCCTGGGGGAGGGGTGTACACTAACAGGGAACAGTGATCAAGCTACCCATCCGCCTGCAAGCCGTCTTGCCTACTCGCACCCGCCCACCCAACACATAAGTAACACCCAGGTGTCAACATATCGCGTAAGAACGCCACAGAAGCCACGGGTTCCAGATGCACCAGACACCCTGGACGCCCAAGCGTGCCAGGCCCGCCAGGTGCGGCATGTGCTCCACGTGCGCCCAGTGTTCCACGTGCTCCAGCCACTCCAGGTGCGCCAGCCACTGGGAACCAATAGGGGCTCCACCTGCGTGCGCGGCAACTGATGCTACGCCAGCAATTGCGCACGCCCCAGCGCATGCTTGCGGCTGCTGGCCACCGCGCGCGTGGGACGTTCTTGGGGCCAGTTTGGAAGCCTCTTGGGCCCGATTTGGAGCTTTCTTGGCCAATGTTGGAGCCATTTGGAGGCTTCAAAAGCCCATCGGATACGAAAAGGCGAGAAGGCAGCAGCCATTGATATGTCAAAGCAGTCGTTTGACCACCTGCGCCCAGAAGGCAGGTGGGATCTACTGGCGCCCCGGCCGTCCTTGCAAAATACGAATACAAAGTGGTCGCGGGGCGGCCGCGCATGCGCCAAATGTGATAGAAGAGTGTGTGTTCGTCTGGTTTGTTCACAGGGATGGTGAGGGGATAACGGGGTCGGCTTTGTTCCAGGTTGGCTGTCGGCCGGGCGAGAGAAGAGGCAAATCTCGTCAAACCAGCTACGCCCAGAGGGCTGGTGGGATTACCCGCGAAGGGCCTTTAATGTTGAGGACCCCCTTGAGCTCTCGGCGGGGCATAGAAGCTCGTCCCTCCTCCTCCTTCCCCTCCTTCCTCCTTCCCCTCCCTCCTCCGCCTCCGCCTTCTCCTCATCCTTCTTCCCCTCCCTCCTCCTCGTCCTCGTCCTCCTTCCCCTCCCTCCTCCTGCTCCTCCTCCTCCTCCAGTGACTGGTTGAGCTTCGCACGAAGGGGCGCGCCGCTGCGGCGAGCGCAGCGTCTGAACAAGAAAACGCGGGCCGCGGGTGGACCGGCTGCCCTGCAGATCTGCCGCGCACGCGCCTGCGC